ACTTAAAATATATTTTTATTCCTTAAAATGTATTTAACTTCTCATTCTTGAAAGGAGACCTGAAGCTGCTTTCACAGCAGACACCTGCAAAAGCCTTCATTTCTTCAACAGCAAAAGCTATTTCTATGGCTAGACCAGTTACTATAAATGAAAAAAAAAAAATATTATTGCATCTCAACACTAAGTAGGTCAAAGCTTTGCTCTCCCAGTAAAGCTGCCAGGCCAAGTGCAGCAGTAGCTCTGGGGTGTATAGTATCTTTGACATTAATTCACGTGTGCCTTGCAGAATTGAAAGATTTAAACAAACTAGTGCAGGGGCACGTTTGTGTGACAAATGAGGAGGGGTAAAATAAAGACACATGGACGTAGAAGGAAGTCTTCTGAAAGTGTTTTTGCAAAAATACAGGCAGAAAGGTGATAAAATCTACACTTATTGTAATTTCATTATTTTAGTTGGAAAATATGTCTCAATGGCAAGAAAAAGCTCCTAATAGCTTTAATAAACAAACTAGACAAAGAAAAGACAATGTGGTAAAGAAAAAAGGAGGGAAAAGAAGGGTAAAGAATAATAGTAACTGAGACTAAAGAGTAATAGTAACCAAGAAAACTAAACCACTCATGCCCAAAGGTAGATAAGAGGAAGCCTGTACTCGCTGTGAAAAGGTCACTGCCCACACAAACATGAGTTTCCAGATGAAAGACAGCACAAGTTCCGCAGCTTTTGCGTCATCAAATTGGAATTAGGTTTCTGGAAGCATCTCAAATGAATTCAAGCAGCTCTGCTGTGTTTCTCAAGTGAAAAAACATTGACAGCATGAATGTTGGTTGGAGGAAAATAAACAAAGTTAGTCCTCTGCTAATACACAGAGCGCTTTATGTTCTCAGGCATAGCCAGAGGGCGTCTGTGGGCCGCAAGGTTCACATTTGTGCCAGTCAAGCTCCCAGGAAGCAGCACAGTCTCACTGATGCCATGAACACAGGCATCTGGGAAGTGCCTCAGCCTCAGAAAGGCTGCACAGGCAAGGTGCTGTTTGTAGGGTTTTACAAGACAGTCTGAAAATCCAATTTCTTCCACAGCCTTAATATCAGCTGAATGTATTTCAGCACTGTTTGTATTCTTGGGACAGGACCTTCCCCTTCTGGAGTGAGTGTCATGATTACCTAAAAGTCACAATGCTCACTGATCCAGTGGTTCAACAGTGGCACAGCTTCTGCAGGGAAAACTGTCACTGTCAGGCTGCTCAGCTGGGTGACACAAGATGTGTGTTCAAAGGACAGCATCGAAAGGAGGGATTTCTTCTATCCCCTGTAACTTCTGCAGCCACCAATGGTGCAAGACATTAGTGCCTCCACTGTATTTTTGGAAGAAAGACCTGGTTTAGATGTCTACATAAAGGAACTGCTCGCATTTGTTTCCCCAGCTGTCGGGCCAGGATAATTCTAACTGAACTGATGAACAGAAGATGAAATGAAGGCAGATTCTGAAAAATTGCTTCACAACTGAAATTTCCATCTCCTGGCCCGAGCAACACTTTCTAGGGATGTAAGTACACACTGCCCTTCTTGGCACTGAAGTGTACTTAATTCCTTAGTTCCAGGAAGGAATGCATTAATGTTGATTAAATCAGTTTCTGCATCAATGCATGTGTCCTGTCCCCCTACAGACTGGCATGTGTCTTATGACAGTAACTGAAATTAAAGAGTCAAAGTCATTTGATGGTACCTAACAAAAGGGAATTTCTGTAACATTACATATACTGTGGTTTCTAATGAAAGTTAAAACATGACTCATGCAGGCTGAATGTCTGATTTTCTTGGGCAACCTTTATGGATTATAAGAAAAAAGTATTTTCAAGTGCTGAAAATATTTTAGTAATATGGCTTTTCTCATTTCTAGCTCAGTGCTTTTAAGATGATAAAATGCAGAGAATCTAATTATAGTTGAATGTAATAAGCAAAATCTGTCTCTCCTCAAATTGAATTTATTGGCAGGGGGCCTGGCCAAAGCTAATGTTAATGTTGTTTTCAATCAGTATTTGCAATTTGAAGCAAATTTTAAAATTAAATGCTGTAGTAGAGGAAAAACAATCATGTTAGCAAATGAGAACATTGGTTTGTTGTTATTTGGGTTTCTTGGTTTTGTACGGTCACTTTTGGGCTCCTCTGTACCAAATACAGACTTTGTTCCACATCTAAGGCATGACAGCAGCCGGTTATTTCTTTAAGGGCAGGAGAGAAGGTAACACAGCAATTAACATTTGTGACTGCTCTGCCTTGCCAGAGCAGAGCTCACTACCAACAGGTGTAGCTATGGTGAGCTGCTCCCTGCGGAGCTGCTCCCTGGAACTCCACTTCAAACATGCAGGCACACACATTCTACCCTTGGAAGTCACTTACCAGCTCCAAAACCACCGAGCTGGGGAGTCTCAACTACTTTTTGGTGGCATGAAATTCCACAGTTCTTAAGTTTGGACAACAGTTTCCATTATTATACAAGTAAATAGGCATTACAACAGTCTTCCTCACTAACTGATACTTTGGTTTTCTGCAAGTCCCGGAGATCAGAGAATTAAAACAGTCTTCCTAATTCCAATTAAAATTTCATCTTTAAGAGTGGCTATTGTCAGAGCTAGTTATTAGGATTACTTTCATCTTTATTGTTACAAAATAGAATTCAAGGAAATTAAGAAGTGGGGAAGACATTAAGGAAGTACATTTTTTTAAAAAGAATCATCTTCTCTGGTCAATAACCTAGCTGAATAGCTCATCAGAAGTACATAAAATTGTTTTCTAAAACTGAAGACATTCTTAAGATTACAAATTAATTATCTCTATGTTTTTTCTAAGATACAGATTATTTTCCTTAATAAATTACCTTAACTACTAAATGAGGTTAGGATGCTTCCCTCTTCTCCCTTATAGCCATGCTACTTTCACTGCTAAAAAGCAGGATGATTTCTTGCCCTCTTGACACAACAGCACATGCACATCAGTGGTCACAAGGGACAAAGTCACTCCCATCATCTTCACAAAGCTCTCTAAAAGCTTTGTTTCAAATGCTGAACAAAGGTACAGTTGTATGCAGTAAGCTGTAAAAACCTTGGATACAACACTATTTGGAGATCCACGAGATTCCTCCAAGGAAAAGAACACCAATTCCTAAACAAGACACAACGAAGAGGGATTGATGCTGTCACTTCCCCAGCAACGCACACTCCCCCTGTCTGGTCCATCTTCACCCTTTCAGCAAGGAGAATGAGTAGAATGATGAGTGAGTGATCTGGTGATTATTCCTGCCATCTATTCCTAGTAACAATGGGCTGCACTGCTTTGGATTTGAATGTTCAAGACCCCTGCACTGTAACTAAACTCACTGCCTTTAGCTTCTTATCACAACATACCTCTGAAGATGATGGCAACTGGACTAAAACAGCTGAATTGTTTTAATGCTCAGTTAATTTCCTACTCATCCACAGGTGAAACAATGATTTGCAGATTTATGTGCAAGATGAAAGTTACAGAAAAAAATGTACAAAAAAGAAGTGTAATTTATAGAGTCAGAGATTAGCATTTCTGTACTGTCAAAACAAGTATGTCCATGATGCTCAGTGTAACCTGACACTCATTACAGCTGTTTCTTTGATACTAAGCCAAGTGCAGAGTGGTTCTGAAGTTCAGTGTTAACAAGCTCGTGTGCTTTGTCGAGTGGGGTCAGTGAAAAGGAAAGATAAACAGAACAATTAGAAACTTAGCTTAGCTTTTCTCAGAGGGAAATTGGCTGAGTGTGTTTTGGTTTGTTTTGAAAAAGACTGTCCTGTTAATACTGCAGCACCCTCTCAGCTGGAAGTTCTCTTTACAGGGATAAATGGATCTAGAGATCTTTCACTGCAGCATGACAGGTACCTTAGACATTGATATTTGAATGTTTCATGCTATACAAAGAGCTTTTATTTCAGTTTTGGTCCAAGTTAGTTTTCTCCAACTTGTCCAAACATACATTATTGATTTCAATATTCTCTTATTCTGTATTTCAATACTCTCTGAATGTTGCCATCTCAGTGACAGTCCCAATTCATGTAAGACTTCAGTGTCACATCAAACATTTTAGCAGCAACAGCTACTCACACTTACTAATGGCTGTAAGCCAGAACATCTGAGTAGGAATGTGTGGATGCAATAAAAATAGGAAGAGCTGAACCCAAGGATCATGGAAACAGGGAGTGATAAAAAAGCATCTCACTATAAGGAAAGGGCTTCTGCCATATCAAATATTTCCCCCAAAACAGGCAAATCAAACATCTAAGTTTAGTTCTAATCTTTATTGCTTGGTTGATAACCATCTCTCAGGCAAGTAACTGGAATGCTTTCATAAGAGCAAAGCTTGTTTTCTCCCTTTTAAAGTCTCACTAGTTTTAAATCTGGAATATTAAAAAAAAAGTTAACCTGTTCTTAACAACTTTTTGATATCAATTAAGCCACACATCCTTCTTATTTTTAAAACGTCCTCAGCAAATCTGAAATATCTGAAGATCTGCAAAAGTAAAAAAAAAAAATAAAAAACCAGACACTTACCAAAGGTTGTTCTGCTTTCCATGCCCCAGTCTTGTCAAGTTTATTGGTTCTTGGTTTTACTTAATCTGTGTTTATTAGAACAGAATCAATTTTAGATGCTTTCTGTGCCTAAGATAGTATTTCAAGAAAATTTTCAGCATTCACAGCTATTATTTTACCTTCTCAGTTTCCAGTACAGTACCTTCTTCTCAGGCATTTTGTCACTCTTTCATTAAGTGATGCAGATATGTAACCGCTGTGTTCTCATCCCTCTGGTTCAAGAAATGTGAGGAATGCTACATGATGGCTGCACTAAGCAAAACAGAAGACTGTAAAGAGAAATATTCAGCAGTGCTGTGGCACATCACAAGATATATACACTGTGGAGAAGCTATAGATCAGCATTTCTGAGCTTAGTCCTTATATACACAGAGAAACTGTAACAGACCTTGAAAAAAAATATGTACATATTTTATTGGAAGCTGGGGCAATGGACAGAAGGGCACCTACAAATTTTAAGAAAACATAAATGCATAGTATTTTCCTTTCCCTAAACCCCAGTCTGGGAAAACTTTGTAGACTATGCACTTCACAGACAATAAGCCAAGTCTCAAAATTACCAAACTGAGCTAATGCTTCCAAAGGCCTAGAGACTCTTTACAAGATTTATTAATCCCATTAAAATACTTCTGGTAGGAAACTGGTCATTTTAATAGGAAAGGTGCATTCAGTATTGTAAAACATTTGCAATATACAGTTTTTACAACAAGTAATACACCACTGTAGATATACAAAGTTTTTTTTAATAAGCTTGGCTCTTTACCTCACAATCCTCTTCAAATAAATATTTAACAAAAGAATCTCTCTTCTAATATGGAAGTAAGACCACGGATAAAAAGAGCATCAACCATGTTGCAGAAATGCTACAACAAAGCCCCTTTCACCCGCCAGTCTTGGGACAGCAAATCCTGCAGTTCTTCTTCATCTTCACTACCAACATCCTCCTCCTCTTTCTCTTGTGCCGCTCTTAATCTCATGGCTTCCTTTAACTTCTCCTTCATCTCATCCTGGCGGTTCCGCAGAAGCTCGACACGGCGGTAGCATTCACTGTTGGAAAGTGAAACACCGGTTAACATCTGGGGCCTTTCTACATTAATTTGGTCATCTCCAGTGCTGGATTTTGTTTCTACAACTTTGAATAAAGAAGCTTTACAGTTAGAAATGAAAAAGAAATAAGCTTTGAAGATGCTAGTGCAGTGTTCATCAAGTGAAAACAGACCGAGAAGAGGTCCATTCTCTATCAGTGAGATCCAATCCAAGTACTTAATGCAATACAGTACTTCTAAAATCACAAACTATTTTCCAATAAGTACAGAACCAATATCCACTTCTACTTAAGAAGGAACACCATTCTTTGCTCCATTTATGGTTTTCATGAGAGAAAGGTGTCACATCAATTATCAATTTTGATAACTCGGTGGTGTCTCTGAAAATTATAAAGTGTTCAGATGCTTTATCTGCTTCCTCTGTGCTGTAACAGAACATTTTAAGTAAACACAATCCAAAAGTTTCAGGTTTCCATTTACTTAAAAAGTTCTGTCCTTGAATTGTGTTTTGTAACTATTCTAGCCATTTTAAACAGGGTATTTTTTTGAAAATGCTAAGTAGTACCAGCCTGACTTAAATTCACCTTTGCCCTTTTCATTCTTACTTGCTCAGCAGGGTCAACATGGAGCGGTTACTATCTGGATCCTGCTTCCCCTGGCATATCATCAGTATGATTCTTACAGGCAGTCATAGCTGAAGATTTAAAGGCCAAGGAATTTATTTAATTTTCAACTTATTTTGAAATAGTCTGCATTTGAATACACTCAGAAGTCAAAAGTTACAAAAAGTCTTTAAAAATCTATTTGGGACTTTTATTTTGGGGAAAAATAATTACAGTAACAAACTTGAAATAATCTACAAATTTCTTAATTTGGTTCTGTGTACTACAGCAGCCTTAGCTAGTGAGAAAAATAAATCCTCAAAGAGAGGAGATTTAGCTCAATCCCTCTCCAGAATGACACAAACATTGTTAAAAGATATCCCTGTAATAGCAAAGTTCAGTTTGAACCCAATGCTGTTGTTACCATACACTGATCATGTGCAACATGTAAATCTGCCCAGATGGTTGAAGTGTTACTTTAATTTCCAGCGTCTTCTTTTTGTTGCATCTCTTTCTTTTCAGTCGCTACCATCACCATTATCAATGTTAATATCAGTGTGTTGAGATACACAAAAATGGTAACAAACTGTTCCACTGAGCTGTATTTCAGGTTACTTGAGTTTAAACTAATGTACATCCAACCACCACACACACCATTTCAGGGAAACAAAATGAAAAAAATACTTCATGTAATAAAGTGCATCACTCCACAAAACCCTTAGGTAAACTTCTACAGGAATTAAAGAGGTTTTGCCACAGGACAGGAGATTTATCAGTACAGGAAATGTTTCTTAAAAATGTTCACATAAACTCTAAATCAATCAAAATTCCCAGGGAAATACAGATTAAGACATTAAGACATTTGACAGGGGAAGAGGGACAGTTTGTTCCAAGAATTTAACTTGTGTACTTTCAGTGATTCCAGTAAATCCTCTCTTTGGAGAAAGTTACATAATTTTGTACCAAAATCCATGTCTTTATTAGGTATCATTCTGCAATTTGAGTGAGTCTGTCCTTCAAGTACTCAGATAATTAATGAAAGGTACTATCACAGATTAAATGGGTTTTTATCACTCTAGTCAAAGAGCAATCCATTACTTCTGGAGAACAGAGAATTTGAGGAAAAATTGATCTACTTACATCTGCTCATCAATTTCTCCAATCTGGCGATCTAGTCGTCCCTCCTCATCATCTTCTGCCACTATTGCTTCTGAAATCTAAACCAGAAAAGTGCTGAGAAAATTCACCTTCATCCTGAATTCCACTTCCACTCCTTTACAATGTCTGTGTCCTCCCCTGCTCCCCTCTACCTCAAGTTAGTGTCAATCTCCTCTATGTATATTCCCATCTTCACAAGGGCAAATACAGGAAAAAAAAAAAAAAAAAGTCTGGTTTAATTTGAAATGGAAATGCTTTTTCTTAAAATCAAAAGTAGTTTGGCTGCTTTGGGGTTAATCTTTGGAAATTTTCAATACACTACAATTTGAAACTGAGCATAAACAAACTACACACACCCACAGTCTGAGGCCGAAACGGGAGCTCTATCCCAGTGCTTGGGACTTAAATACACACCACTTATTGAACATACTGTTTAAATATTCCCACCAGATCCCGAAGTGTTTCTAACCTGTTATTTTTTTCAGCATATACTTTCTCAAATCTGAATGTCTGGGAGATGCTATGCAATCAATGGTCCACGCATAACTGAGAAGATTCCTCCTAAGCTGAAGAATTATCTGAATGGCTTTTGCTAGCAAAATGTATCCACCACCGCTTTTGTATGAACATTCGCTCTGTTTATAGTGCTGACTGCTTTAAAATGAGCAATGATACATTTTTCTGAACCACTTTTCTCAGCAATTAACTTATGAATAACTATTTACAATTAAAATAATTAAAAGGATAGCAAATACTCTTGGGGAAGACTGAGAACACCAGATAAATCTGTAGTACAGTTTTATATTGTACACAAGGGCAGATGAACACCTGCTGCAGGAAGACTTTCCATGCAATGGTAAACAGTGAAAAATAGAAGTACAGAAAAACTGTGACCAATTTACATGTCTCAAACTCTTTTGTCACTTTCCCAGATTTTGGAGTTCCTTTCCAGTACATTTAAATTAAACATTAAATCCAGGTTACCTACACTTTATAGATACTTTTTTGAAAAGACAGACAAATGGGTGGTGTTTTTAAAAGCTAAAATATGAATATAGAGCAAAATTAGAGCGCAAGATTGTGTCCTGTTTGGATACAGGACACTGATCTGAGGTACATGCTAGCTAAATAGTATTTAAATGAAATACAGTGTAACAACTGTAACTAGATACATATGACTGGATCTTGTTAAAAGTTTTTAACTTAATTTTCTTTAAGTGGAAAATACAAGGAACCCTTTGCTCATTTATAAAGTGCATTTAACCGCACACTGCATTGAAATAAACAGCTGACAAATGCAGGTATCAGCCATTCTGCAGAGCTGCATGAAACTGTTGTTTTCCTTATTGTGTATAGTATTTAGAATCAATAAATATAGATTCCATTACTTACTGTGTTGACCTGTCGCATTGCCTTTTGAAATTCATCCCATTCTTTGTCCATCTGATCCTTTGGAGCATCAACTTTTCTCACCTAACAAACATGAAAATTTATAAATTAACAATTTAAGTCTAATGACTCTTTGGGGCACTGTAAAAAAAGACAGGAGAAATAGGGAAAATTATGCTGTGTTATCAGGAAAGTCTGCTTGATGTACTTCAGTTTAAGTAATGGATATGAGTGAGGAGTGAGAGAGTACAGCTGCACAATGGTTTCAGAAGAAAAAATCTGACTCTACTTCTGGATTAAAGCAACATCTGTGACTGCAGCATTAAAGAATAATTATTGACTAAAAGTGGCTGGTGTCGAATGTCTGGATCAACAAAAGTGAGTTTGATGGTCTGTCATTTCACTGTGTCAGGTGATAACTATTAAATTCTTCTGCAAGCTGCCTGTACAATTGCATACAGTAGCCATTTCACAAGCCAAAAAGCAGTGAATTGTTTGCCTTTGGCATAACGTAAAGTATCAAACTTTTCAGTCACTAGTCTGCTGGTGTTAGGTAGCCTGACTGTATTTCAAATCTAGTCTGATTCTGTTGGCTAACAGAAAAAACTGTACAGCTACAAACCAATTTTAGCGACATGCAAAGCTTTTTATTCTGTGGTAGATGGTATTTAGTACTAAGAGATGAAGTCTGAAAAAGTAGAAGTGATAAGAATGTGTGTAAGATCTACAGCCAAGGTAATCAAAGCCAGATTATGCTTTTAATGCAAATAAATAAACAAGGTAGTCTACCTGTGTAATTGAAACTTCCACAACTGAAGACTGGAAGATGTGGCATATAATGTATTTTAGAAGACAGATTATGCCTGACTCAGGACTGGTAGAAATTACATAGCTAGGAGAACTAAGCAGTTTGAACATAATAAGTCATGATGCCATCTTTTTGCATTAGTTTTATTTTCTCTTTATTCATTCTGCTCTTTTGGTGACATGTCAGTCATCACCTTAGTAAAGACAACAGTTTGGTGCATTTTGTTCCTGAGTGACTATACAAAATCAAGTAGTATGAATTAAGTTTATAGAATAAATTAGAAGCTTCCAAGCAAACTTCTACTGGGAAGTAATAGTCATCATTTCATTTTTCTGTTCTGTTATTATTTCTATCATATGTGTATGTACTGTGTTATTATGCATTGTGGTTGTCTTTTGTAATTCATAATTATTTGTATTTCTTACAATAAATTTAAACACTAAAGTTATTATTTCTTCTTGAAATATTTATCTAATCCAGAATTTATATGCTTTACGAATACCTGATGCAAATAACAAGCAGTTTTCACGCCCACAATCTCCATTTCAAATGCCCAGTTAATTCTTAAAATAATTATTTTGTGTATGATTCCAACACAGAAGCACCGCAGCCACCTCAGTGTAAGTGATGTCACAAACATAGTTACACTCGGAAAGGGCTGATTAAAAGGAAGAGTTTCTGCAAGCAATTCAAGGAAGAGCTGACTGGAACAAGTAACCACTTGAAAATTTATCAGTGGAGGCAATAACCAGAACAAAGGTCACTAACCAGTGTCCTCACAGATATAAGCAGATTCTCCTTTGCCTGATGGACATTCCCGCATTCCCAACTTATCACAGAACTAAGTATTTGAAAAATTTAATACTTCAATTAGACATGAAAAACCCCACAAAAACAAACCCAAACAGCCAAAGCATGGCTTTTTCAGCTACATATTTCAATATTCAAAATATCAAATATCAAAATATCATTATTGAAAACTCATTCACAACACATGGGCATGCGTAGTGCCTAAAGAGTCTTGCCAGAGCAAATAAAACACCTAAGCTTGTTAGCTGGGACAGTGGGACTAACTGAATATGAGAAAGCATTATTTGGAAGGTCTCCAAATTAGATGTCATAGCTTGGCCTCACAATGCCATTTAAATACACCAGCAGCCTTCCACTGTGAACAAGGAAATGTACTCAAAGAAAATAAAAAAGACTTAAGCCTACAGCACTGTATTTCAATGAATAAAGCAAGAAATCCATCAAATCTGTGGCAAATTTTACAAAACAAAACAAAAAATGTTTGTATTTCAAATACCAGTGTTTATTTTGGTCATCATTTGGCACTATGCAAGCTGAAGAAAGCATGAACATTTTTGATAATAATTCCAAGATTTTTAGTTGTGGGGATTTTTTTGAGAAACAAGGTGAATACCCACATTTCTTTTCTTTTCTGAGTATCATAAACCGCCAAAGTGGTAAAAGACAAGAGGGCTGAAGACCAGGTTCACTCTTTTGGTGTAACCAGTACCACAGATGACATTTTATGCCATAGTGGAGCTATTTTCCTTCCAATAGGATGCACCCTGTCAGTCACACAGTAACTCAACACTTTTCAGCAGGATCTCACAAAGGACTCTATAGAACTGTTATATCTCCAATTCCAAAGCAAAACTGAACATACAAATTAAGTGAACCGCTTTTCCTGGGATGACTCACAGAAATAAAGGCAGATTGTCCAAATCTCGGTGTAGTATTCCAGCCAAGAAATGAAATTTCTTTAAGAGCCACAGAGGAACCATAATCAAAAATACTTTCCAAGAGATGATTTTAACAAGCTCTTCCTGCCCACCTCCATCCTTTTTCATGTTTTCTAATTCACACAGAATGAATGTTTAAAGCTGCACCAGGGGAGGTTCAGACTGGGCAGTAAGGAAGCATTTCTTTACCAAGAGGGTGGGGCAAACACTGGAACAGGTTTCCTGGAGAGGTGGTCAATGCCCAAAGGCATTTGAACAATGCCCTTGATAACAAGTTTTAGCTTCTGTTCAGCCCTGAAGTTTTCAGGCAGTTGGACTAGATGATTATTATAGGTCACTTCCAACTGAAATAGTCTATTCTAGTCTAAATACTTCAGTCATTTTCTTATATTCCAGTATGACTGGTTACCTGGAAAAGCATCCTTACTACTCAGAAAATCATTACAACTGGCAGAAATAAATCCAGTAGCATAAAACCAGTGGATCACTTACTTTTGCGTCCACTTCAGGATCATCAAAGAAACCTTCTGGCAATGCTTCAGCAGTGTTTTCTTTCCTGAAATATTTGATTACTATTAGAGCGAGTTAACATTTTACAATCTGCTTTACTGCAGAGTTAAAAACAGTCAAGAATGAAATTCATAATCCTCTGTGTAAGTACATAGAAACACAGCAAGTTTTTTAAGCCCTTAGTTTTATCTACAACCATCAAAACCTCCTCCTTCAGCTTGGTCTTTCCTCACTTTGAAGGAACTGCACAGAAAGGTTTAAATTTCACTGATAAAACAAGAGCTGTAGCTTATGCTTCTTAAACTATTCTTTCCAGTGTGCTGAACACCCAAACACTGAAACAGCACAGTTGCTACTTCTAAAAGACTAAAGCACTGTCTAAAGGAGTGCTCAAGTGAGCTAAACCATTACTACAGAACGAGCAGTTTCCTTTGAACAGTGGAAAGCAGTGGTTGATATTAAGCTCCCACAGTATCCTCTGTTACAATTTGCAAAGAGAAGTCAAATAGATTCTGTATGACATTGCTCCATCTCTTCTCCTGTCCCTAGGGTGCAAGATACCTGTCTGAAACAATGCCTGAGGCTGACATATATGCAAACTATTGTGAATCTAACAATAAGTTAAGATTTCTAAGTGATCACAGTCTCCATTTCCTGGAAAAGTGATGTTTATTTACAATTCCTAAGACTATTAATATTTGATTTGACTGCTTACCTTTCGACTACCTTCTCTTGTATCTCTGCTTTCTGTATGGATCCTGAATGGGAAACTATAGGAGCAGCTGGAGTTTTGGTGTCAAAAAAGTCTATAGAAAAGGACAGAAGTCTATGACAAAAAGAACAGGCATTTTCTAAAATTCCTACACTAGACAGGAATTTCAGTTAGTACCTTACTGAATCAAGGGAAGAACATGGGAAGGGAAGATGTTACTTCCCCTGCCCTCAAACAACTAGAACATAAAATCAATAAGCAACCACCACACAACAATGGAATAGTCTTTGCTAGTTTATCTCTACTTCCAGTATTACACACCCTCACCATCACGTAATTACCCATCACCTCATGGCAATAATTAGAAAAATAAAAACCTTTCATTATCAGTTAAATCACAGGTTCTCCTTACAGAATCACTTACTATTTCAGTCAGCAATACCTGCAGGCAGAGAATTAGCTATTACTTCTTGAGTTGGAGGTGGAATTTCAGTTTTATGCACAACAGAAGATTTGTTTGATTGTTCTTGTTCCTCCTCTTCATCATCATCTTCGTCATCATAATTCCCTGACAATAAACTGGGACCTGGGCCCTTGGAAAGCTGTACACTGGCGCTGTCTTGCTGTGCTTCATCAAAAAAATCTGCTGGCAGCCTGGTAAAAAGCCCACAACACAACTGTTTGAAACTTCACAGCAATGCCTCCAGTCCAGCACCAGCAGCCCAGTCCCTCTGTGAGCAATACAGGCTGTGAGATACTGAGCAATGCCCTCCCTGAACTCCACAGGTGCCAACACAGCCACTGTCTGGAGGCAGCACACACTTGGGGCTCTCATTTTAAGCTCCCCAGAAATGCCCAGGTAATTCTAGAAACACATTTTTTACATCTACTTTCCTATTTGCATATTCAGTATCAGAAACATTAATAAAAATAACCCATAACAAATTGGAATGGTGGTTAAAGTAATTGTTTTTCCATCTGCTATGTCATTTGCTACTTATTTTGGTACCTGCTGCTGTCCAGGACTGCAATTTAGAACGACCACGCAGGCTCAGCAATTAGAAAACTTCAGATTTTCTGGAATAGCTGCAGCCTGCAAGCCACAACATTCTTTCATATTGTATTTTAAACTAATCATGCCAACAAGTTCAAAAATGGACAAACCTCTCAAGTGTTAATTTGTTAATTAACACAAACTCAAGTTCCCACAAGGAAACAGCACGTGGTACCTACGCAAGATAGTAATTTATCCTGTGAAGTGTAGAGGAGACCCACAGGTGTCACCTGACATTTGCCATCCCTGCAAAGATGACTGAATACCATCAGAAATTTTAGGGGTACTTGAGATGCTTAACCCAACCCCTTGAAGTCAAATGCAGTCCTATATTTGTACAGGTTCAACTGCAGCATGTGCACCTACATTAATTTTAGGTGACAAAAACCATCCTAATGAACATCTGTCATTAGTTAGTAGCTTTTGTTAATACATATGATTTGATTATATATTCAAAATTTGTGCTCATTTCAGACTGCCACCTCTTCTGTAGGATGTCAGCATTATTAAAGTACATGCTAAAATCTAGTTATGTTCAAGATGTGTAACAGAACCACACGTCAATCCTTTAAAGTCTGCCAGCGACAGTAAAAGAATTCCTGTTTTCTCAGAGGGCCTTAAGAGTTGACACAATTATCTCTGCCCAGGAAGATGCTGCCATGTTCAGGAATATACAACTCCGATAGAAAATGGGCAGAAGCAGAGATCTGCTAGCTCTCTGAACCTTTGCCCTTGTCTAGGAAGCAGAGACAAGGAAGAGCTGGGCAAGAATACAGCCACTGGTAGTTAGAAAAAAATTCATAGGTAATAACAAGATCTACTTACCCCGATGAAGATGTGTGAGGCTTTGCGTCTGTACCTGTACAACAGCCAAGAGTCATTTCTTAAAATCCACACTTTTAAAGAAACATCCCTAAGAATTCTATGATAGCACCAAGTACCCAAATGCATATGTCTTTAAATATCTCATATATTTACGTGTCTGGTAGCACCAAGAGAAAAAATTAACTGTCTTTCCTTTGGCAAGAACTTTGGTGCATGGTTTGAAGAAAACCAGTGACTTGATCCCACTGAAAAGGAATAACACCACTTCTAGGCAAGTGCTCCTACTGCTTAATTTACACTGCTCCTTGATCTGATTGGGCCAAGCCCACAGTTCTGTGACCTAATTCAACCCAATAACCCAGAATAAAACCAGGTAAACTTCCAAAAGCACAGTTTTCTCCTGACACAGAACTCAAAGCGAAAGAACAAGCAAACTTTTTCCCTTTTCAGCAGCAACAGGCTGACTTCAACTCAACAGTCTGGTTTATTCATACTTCCACAGCAACAAAACAAATCAAACCAAGAACAAGATGTAAAATGATGGATTCTGGCAAGCATTTCTCTCTCATTACCTTTTACTCTCTTTAGGTCTGTATTTTCTGTCTCAACTGTTTTTCTCTTGACAGGTTGAGACGATGTGCCAGCAGCTGAGCCAGTGGCCGTCTGTTTTGTGCCTTTTAATTCTGCAACTCTCTGTAAAGAAATAAAAATTCAGGACATGTTACTAGTGGTAACTTCTGGATTGCAGCTTAAAATACAGAGCTTTTACAACAGCTCATCAAAATGAGCTAACACCTCTCTCTAGAACAAGATCACTGAAACAGATACCAAAACAAAGACCAGTGTTTCTGCCAGTCTCTGGAACGATGTGACATGGAGGATGAGTAACTGACACTCACAAAAGGAAGGCTGTACCAGTAAGAAAGAAAAGACTAAGAGCAGTAACACTGACAGCAGTAAGGCACTGAAGAAAAGAGCAGGAAGGCTAGATTTTTTCTAAGGTCCTGGAATACTAAGTATTTAAAATTAAAACATGGCACTTCAACAGCATGAAAGACATCACCCTCCCTCGCCAGTCACCTAGTCTGAATGCAGGCAATGAACTGGAACCCTTCCACTCCTTTGGTCTTTCCCTGAGTACTTGTAAAATTAAACATAGTCTTTCAGTTTTTGCTAAGTAGCAGCAGAACTTAAAAGGATTAAAAAAGATTGGGTCGAATCCATGTTATAAACTCCCTGACTTGCTTTACAAGTTCTTCATCTTTATTACTGAATTACAAAGAAAAAAATGTGTATTTGCTTAACCCCGCATAAACTGTCACAGGTGACAGCTCACAGGTCCCCAAGCAAGGCCGGGGAGGCAGCGGGGTCCGAGTGCGAGCTGCAGACAAGTGACAGCCAAAAGCTGTCGCTAAGGTGGGAGCTGCTTCACCTGAGGAGCGGACCCCTGAAAGACTCGGGACCCCCTTTTTAAGGGGCTGGTTTTTCAAGTCCCGCATAGGCTCTAAAAGAACAGAACCCAGACGGAACAGCCAGGCCGGTTCCCACCCTCATCCGCTGCTCCCACTACCGCAGAGACAGAAGCAGCGAAGCCCAGGGCCCCGTTCGGGCGGTGCGGCCTGTCCCCAGTCCCTCCCCTTCCCAGCTGCTGTCCCGGAACAACAAAGGCCGGCCGAGACCCGCGCCCTCCGCACCGCCGCTCACCTCCCGGTGCTGCTTGCCCAGGACGTGGGTCTGCCACAGCAGCTCTCCCTTGACGGGCGCGTTGCACAGGGAGCAGCTCAGGTGCCCCAGGCTGTTGTACGTGTCGGACGCGTTAAGGGAAGAACCGTGCGGGGCGCGGACCCCTCTCCCTCACTCCCTCCCAGCCTCCCTCCCTC